TAGAGTCACACACTGAGAGTCTGACGGGAACCAACAACACACCAGCTTCAAAACCTCCAGATTCAATGCGCTTCAATGTGGGAATCACACACTCTTACACACACACACACACCTGCTGGCACGACCTGTTTGCTCCAAACACTCATCCTCATAATTGAGTCTCTGTTGCCACTAATGATGTTTACACGTATGTAAATATATGCAACCCCTGATTCATAACACTGTTAACAAAACATCAGAGACTCGTCATGAAGCGCAGCAGAAACCAGACGCTTCAGTCACACACACACACACACACACACACACACTCTTCAGTCAGTCACTCACACACACACACACACACACACACACACACACACACACACACTCTTCAGTCAGTCACTCACACACACACACACACACACACACACTCTTCAGTCACTCAGCGGATCGTTCGTTCAGAGGTCACGCGGGGTCACACATTAGGGCTACAACGAACAATTATTTTGATTATCGATTAATCTAACGATTATTCACACGATTAATCGACTATTAAATCGTCGATTATTTTGCCGGCTAATCAGTAAGTTTGGAACGGTTATTCAGCTTTTTTAATTAGTTAAAACATTGAGTCGTACATATTCTTACTATAAAATGAAAAAAGAAATAAGTGGATTGAAATAGTTGTTTTAATGAACTTTGAGCCAACTAAACAGATCCGTCTCTTTAAGTTTTCAGATTTCAGTCCAACTCAAATCACACACAAATGCTCTGTAAACATCGTTTAATAGGCCCACTGCTCAGAGCTGAAACAGAAAAGGGGTCGTCCGCATTTTGCATTTGTAAAGGGCAGCATTACACTCTAGCGCCACAGCGGTCAAATCACCATATATACAATTGGTCACGTTAGATCAAACGACTACTCGACAACAACAATATTTGCCGATAATTTTTTATTGTCGACGTTGTCAACAATGTTGACTAATCGTTTCAGCCCTATCACACACACACACACACACACACACACACACTTCAGAAACCTCCCTTGTTGCCTTGGCTTTTGGCTTGCTTAGTTGGGGACATTTAATATTCAACAATATTATCGATTGGTGTCACTTCATGTTCTCACTGTGAAGCTGCTTTGATACAATCTGTATTGTAAAAAGTGCTTTATAAATAAACTTGACTTGACCAACGTTTAACATGTTAATCAGCCAAACCTGGAGTTTACAGTCTATCAGGAACTCAACCTCGCTGTTTCTGATGATATTTATCTGACTTAAGAAAAACCCCTGAAAACAAATATCTGTCGGTGGGTCAGAAAACATCATTTCAAAAGGAAAACAGGCTTATATTTCTGACCCACTGGTTTTAAGCACAAACACACTGATCGAATGGACTGGATCTGGAACATGGATTCGTTCTCCAGTCCCTGTAAGAGTTAGAGCGAATAAATGCAGAATCTGAGGCGTTGAGTCTCGAACTGGATGTCGGGATAATTGGAATCAATGGTCAGGATTAGAGGACAAATCTGTGAGTTTGACATGGAAGATCCAGGCAGCGTCGGGTGTGTGTGATGGGATCGATGACAGTGTGTGTGTGTGTGTGTGTGTGTCGGATCAGTGTCTGATGCTCATGACTGCTCACTGCAGTCTTACCACTGTTGCTAGGGTGTTGCTATGCAGCTGATAAAGTTTTCTGGCCATTTTTCTACAGTGATGTAAGTGGTTTTCAAGGTGTTGTTATAGAGAGAATTGTGCATCACATACACACACACACTCTCTCTCTCCCTCGCTCTCTCTCTCGCACACACACACACTCACTCTCTCTTTCTCTCTCTCACACACATACACTCTCCCGCTCTTCCACACACACACACACACACTTACTCTCTCTCTCTCTCTCTCTCTCTCTCACACACACACACACACACACACACACCGGAGCGAGTGATGTCACTGCCTGTACAGCTGGAGTTGTGTGTGTGTGTGTGTGTGTGTGTGGAGAGAGGCAGTAATGGCTCCTCAATATCGGATCCTTCGCCGCTAAAGCTCATTATCTACAGCACATTTAATCTGCAGAATTGGCCACGAATGCGCGTCTGTCTCTCCGAACACATTCACACACATTCAGGAGCGTTTATCTACATTTCTAAGAGCTCGAGAAGGATTGGTTGGTCTGCCATCTGAAGCAAAACACACACACACACACACGGATCCAGCCAGAGGATCAGGAGCAACTGAAGATCAATGTGATAATGTAATAATCCACTCACACGACACCATCAACACACACTCAACGATATCCCGCATCATCAAACACGCCTGTTCAAGTGCCTATTAGCCAATCATGGACCAATATAATTAACAACATCTCAATTATGGTCCCTAATGATTTGGAGTAGTGACACCGAGATCAAACTTCAGGCGACACACACACACACACACAAAGTTCATTACGCTGCAGAAATTAAACTGTGTCATGTGACATCAACAGAGATGAATTATCTCTAGATGCAGATCCACAAAACAGAACACACACAAACCATCATCCACCTGAGCTGGAGGAATCACACACACACACACACTCACACACACTCTCGAACACGCACACGCACACACGAACAGAAATCAATAAAGAGATTGGTGGGGAATTGAAGGAACTGACCCGAGGGGAATATCTAATTATAATTTAATTTGTGGACCAGATTCCAGCTTTGGAAACCTGCGCTCACAAATTTTATTTGTTCCAATTGTGTCACCATATGCTGTCAGACGGCCTGCGGCTACGAGCAGACGGACCCGTTCCCCTCTCGGGGACACCTGGAGCCCAAAGCCGAGGCTCATCGCTCTCACTAACGAGCGAACCCCACATCTTTAACGAGCGGCTGAGAGTTCCACACACACACACACACACACACACGTCATCGCGGGTCCTCCGTCCTCACAGAGATCCGATTCAACAGCCTTCATGAGGCGACTGACGGCTCCAAGTGAATTTGTGTCTTGTTAAAAATAATCACTGTCTTTTAATTAGCAGCTCTTTGTTCATCACTATGTGTGTGTGTGTGTGTGTGTGTGTGTGTGTGTGTGTAGAATAGACTCCTGACCTGAACAGAAACTGATATTTTGATCCTGACACCGTTTATCACAGTGATATTGGTCTTATGTTGGGTTAGATCATAACCAAAAACACTGAGAGCCTCTCAATCCATCAGAGATCGTGGACTATTTTATGGTTTCCACATGCTGAAGACGCTCAAGGTCAAAGGTCACACATCATGTTTACACGAGAACCCTATGCTTAAAGCGAAAACATTTTTCCATCGAGTTTTCCACATACAGACGATATTGGGAAAATGATCCCCATTAACACGGATCCGCAAAAACGGCTAACATGCTGTATTCTGCTGCCAGGCCAGTAGATGGCGATGAATCACTATAGACTGAACACACAATACACACGTGCATGACGTCATCGTCGTCATCGTTTCACGTTTTTGTTTTTTACACGGAGACTGTTCTCAAAAACCTGCACTTTGAAACCTGCGGTCAAAACTTTGCATTTTCAGGCCCCAAAACAGCTGACGGCCAAAACGCATCAAAAGTTTTACGTTTATCTGGAAACGGTGTGGCGTACACAGCCTTCATTCCCTCAAACACAGGAGCCACGGCTGATAGATCATCGTTTTGAGAGGTGTGTGATTCACTGTATTCATGTAATCGATCTGCAGATTATTCTGATGAAGACGGTGAGACTCACGGCTGCAGAGATCCCGCACGTCTGACTGCTCTGACATCATCCGTCCACCGCTCTCTCACACAGCAGATCCTGCACTCACGCAGAAGCACACGCTCACCTCTATAGTGCTCATATCATGAGATCCTCTATATGTGCTACACAAGGGCTTTTTCTTCTTAGTGTCGTTCACTCGTCAGGTGTTTCATTAACATCAGCGTTCTGGACGTCGCTCTGCTGAGCTGGCCGAAGAACATGCGAATGAAGATATGAAGACCTGCGCACGCAAACATGTGTGTGTGTGTGTGTGTGTGTGTGAGAGCTGAAAATCAGTTTCTGCTGAAAGAGTCGGAACAATCACAGAAAACCCCATTAGAGGATCTACAGCAGACAGACGGGTCACAGCAGCTTCAGCTCTTATCCAGACACTTCATGAGGCTGAGATCCGTCTGCTCGCACTGAGGAGGAGTGTATACATATATATATATATATCCACACCATCCACACACACCGACCCTCGTCATCCACACACACAGATAAATACAGAGCGGGATGGATGGGTCGATTTATTCCTGACCTTTTGCTCTACAGATCAGAGGAAGTAAATGCCACTAAAGGTCACATCCTGACCCGAGCAGGACGACGCCACATTAAAGCATCTCATGCGCTTGGGTTCAAGCTCCAGCAGCCGTTCACTCTGGTATAAAGTCATGTGACCTGATGTGTGTGTGTGTGTGTGTGTGTGTGGAGATGCAGACAGATCCCCGTCAGGCCGTGTTTGTTGTTCCTCAGGGATCGTATTCATCATTTCCCTTGAGGCGACAGCTTCAATATGTTCCCATGTGACGTCTCAGAGCGGCCGCTGTCACACACACACACACACACACACACCCCACTGATCCAGATTAGTCCTGATAATGGCAGAGGAGACGAGCCGTACACACACCAGATCGGCCATCTGGACCACAGCGTGAGCCAGACATCTCTACACACACACACACACACACACTTCAGCAGGACATCCTCATTCCCAACAAAGACGCTTCAGCTGTCAAGTGATGACGAGCACGACTGATACACACCTCAGCTGATGAAGAACATCAAGAACACTCGAGAACCCATCCCAGCCCGAAACGGGTTTAAGATGCTAAAGAACCAGAGATGATGCAGGTTTATCTCCAGAATCCCAGACTGGACTGAAACTCCAGCCCCGTGATCCCATCAGGACAAACACACACACACACACATCTGACGATCGTCATGACAACAGGCATGTGTCTTACCTGAGCCGCGCTTGGACAGCACTTTCAGGCTTCTGATGACCGTCGCATACAGCAGGATCTGCAGAGGAACCCGTGATCTCATGTTTCACTGTTTCAGTCGCCTGCAGAGACACAAACACACACACAACATGAGCGTCACACACTCATCTGTCTTTAACAGCGTCTAAACAAACACACTCCATCACATCAGACTCTCAGCTGGCTTCTACATGCGTTTAAATGTCTGTACACAGCAGAGTCTTCAATCTTCAGGATCTCTCCAGTCCACACACACACACACACACACACACAATCTCGAGAGCACATTTTCCCAAGAGTTCTCACAGAAACCCAGCGCCTGCCAAAAGAAAAGCCACAGATCTCTGATTCTCTGTTTAATATCTTCAGGAAACACATCATACGCTGAAACATGTCCTGAAATGGCCTTCAACATCTACGGCAGCCGGACACGCCAGAGTCCATTAAACAACATGAAGACAACACATGACATTAACACGACAACAGACAGATCCCATTCCACAAGAGACAGAAAGACATATTTGTGTCCAACACACACACACACACACACATTTTGAATGCTAAATTGTTAGTTTTGCTCCATGTTGGTAAATCAGCCGATCTGCTCAATGACTGGAAGCGGGTCAGAGAGAAGTGCTGATGTTCATTTAGTTCATGACAGTAACCCTTCACATCCAGCACTGAACATTAACTGTAAGTGTTGTTTCAAAAATAAAAACAACAGGAAACACAAAAGCAACAGTAAAAGTGTGTCAGACATAATATCCTGTAGGTTCCTATGGTTAGTGTGTGCAGCTCCAGATCATCGGAGGATCCCGTCTAATGCATCAGAGACACGGAGCACATTAACACGGATTAAAGGCTTTAGAGACTCGACACAAATCACAATCCAACAATACGACAGTCTGAGTGCTGAACACATGCAGTATTTGCACAACTTCGGTCTGTAGTTTCCAAGGAAACCACTCGCGCTTGTAATCGTTGCGGCGAGCGTCGGATTGATGCGTTTAGACCAACATCTCGTCCTCAAACACCACAAACAGGCCGGCATCTCACTTACCCACACACACACACACACACACACACACACACACACACACACACACACGGTCTCTCTGGCTCAGGGAAGATAGAAGAATATCTGATTGTTGATATCGGCCACCTCATATCGGCCATCTTTCTATTATTTTAGTTCCTATTATATTCAGCCAAATTGTTTTGTGCTCACGCTGCCAAACAGGAGAGAGAGAGAGAAAGAGTCTAGAGGGTTCCAGCATGTCTCTCTCTCTCTCTCTCTCTCGCTTGTGGAACGGGGTGAAAAATGTATGTGCCAGCTGCCTTTGCCAGTCATTAACATTTCTATTTGAGAGAAACGTTAGCGAGAGTCTCCATTTCTACCTTCAGCTCACCCACGCAAACCTCAGCTGCTGCGCCCTGAATTATTCTGTTTCGCATTATCCACTTGCGCATCTCAGCCACGCTGCAGAGCTGAGAGAGAGAGAGAGAGAGAGAGAGAGAGACCTGTGAGCGCTGGCTCTGCAGATGCTGATTCTCTGTTTTTATTCAGATGAATCTGAGGATCGTTACAGTCACGCTGTCAGATGAACGTTTGACTGAAGGTCAAAAAGCCCATAAACTCCTCACAAACACTCAAATCTGACTATAAATACTATGAATAATAGATATACTGTACACCCAATGCACTGCAAAAGTGCTGTTCTCTCAGAGTATTTTTTCAGTACAAATCAATTGCCCGCTGACAAGATGATCTTTTAATAAAAGTTTGCCGTCTATGCAGTAGAAAGGTTTTTTTATTATTCTATGTTATATGACTAAGGCATTCCCTTCTGGCAGTAAAGGAGGAAAACCTTGACACCCATAATGCACTTGGCTCCATCCGGTTGTCCTACGATCTATAGTTTCACTAAAGACCTGTAGCGGTCGAAAGTTCAACACAAATGGGATCATCATTAGTGCAGGTAATGTGGCGAAAGAGTTCATATCAACCAATACTAATGACATTAAAACTATTTAAAAACTAATTAAAAATCAGTGAAGTTACAAACTTCACGTAGTGGAGATGGAAATGTTGGAGATGGAAGATGGAGAATGACGCAAGATAAAAAGTCTTGTTTTCTGAAAAACTGGTGAACAAATATCAGCCAATTGGTCAGACAAACTTAAGGGATACTTCACCTCTGGAAAGATGAATGTGTATTTAAAATGGGTCATTTATGTAGAAGAGTGTGAAATTAGTTTTGAATTTGGAGCTTTCTGGACTGAGAAAAGCCAGAAAATGTATTTTTTATTTTTAAAAATGTATTTTTGGCTAATGTGGATGAGAGACAACAACTCCCAGAATGCACTTGCTTCGCTGCCCTAGGAGGCCACGCCTACCGGTAACAGAGCGCAGTAGTTAAACAACAAGTCTAGGCTACTAGTGAGTCTCCGTGATGAGTCTGCCCGAAAATTTGTTTCGAGATTGCCCAAAATGTTCGGGATTCATGTAAACACTGCATTCACATTCCCCAATCGGCATGAATTCAGTTAGACTGAAACAAAAGCTGTGCATGAAAAGCTGAATCCAGGACATCGACTGGGAAAAAGAGGACGGTAACCCCTACTACTCAGCTTTCTCCACAGAACAAGAGCCTGCTAGCTTAGCTTCCAAACAAACGATGGCCGACGCTACGTGTTCATTCTGTGAGTGAGATCGCCCTCTACGGGCGGGTTGAGGACATGCGGGACAGACCCGACTACTGACTGGAGTCTTTAGCTTCTGGACAAAACATCCTCCGATGATGCAAAATGATGATTTTTCCGTCATCTGAGGATTTTTTCCAGACAGAAAATACATAAATCTCTGATCTCAGGGGGATATGAGGGGAAAGCACGGTAACTCCAAAATACTACAGGTTTTCTACTAATAGAAAGCTTAGCAATCTTTGGCTTGCTCAGTTGGGGATATTTAAATGAATGAACCAATCAGTAATACCATTGATCAGCTCTACCAAACGTGGATGTTTTTCCCCTAAGAAACGAACACTGTTATTATGCTTTGATTGACACTGTGAAGCTGCTCAGATGAAATCTATATTGTGAAAAGCGCTATATAAATATACTTGACTTGACCAATGCTAAATCCTGAAGTATCCCTTTAGTTCAAAGGGAAAACAAGATTATTTTTCTGACCCCACTGACAGAATTTTGCATCTCCAGTAAATGCATCTTGATTTAAGAATGTTTAGATATTTGAGCTGGAAAATAAGTCAACAATACTGTCTGCAGTGGAAGAGTAGTGCTTGATCCATTCACTCTCCACGGACTGACGCTTTTCTTTTACACTGTACATCACTCAAATAATATTAAATAATCTGCAAAACTATTTCATACTTTAAATATATCTGATGTTTCATGCAATAATCAATCACTGTCATCTGACGGAGAGGAAAACAGAGTGAAAATAAAAGAGAAGGTTTGTGAATCGTGACTGTGGATGTGAATCATAAGCCTCCACCATCCATCAGCGCTCTTACCTCACGCACAATCATCAATAACACACGTCGATAGAAGCGTCTCCCACACGTCAGAGCCGGTGGAGGTTTCTCCAGGAATACGCTGGGAAACTCACTGCAGATGCATTTTATAGCAGCAGAAGCTCATTCACATCACTGCCTCTGCACTAAAGCCCAAACCCTGGCCTGAGTCTGCGAGGCTTCATTGAGGTTGAGTGATGCGAACCGCTGGACTCCTGCTGCGCTTTAGAGCCGGTGGCCAGGGCTAACGAGCAGGAGTGCACTAACCCTCTCGATACCGTCCGTTATCCTCGGCCCTCCTGACAATCAAACAGCAAAACACATTTATAGAGGACGAAGAAAAGAGCGCCGAGAATACGGACACACAGCAGAGGAGGACACTCGAGAAGCGGACGGCACATTCTCACTAATGCACAGCGGCTTCCTCTCTGACTCAGTCCATTGCATTTGTAGCTCCTCATAGCTTTGTTTTTAACCTTTTTTTCTCTATCTTTCCTGTCATTTATGTCGCTAAATATAATTGAATCGTCACAATTTATCTGATATTGTCTGTCACATTGATCTTACATTGTAACTGACATAATAACTAACTAATGATCTTTGCAACGGAAGTGAAATCAATAAATACCAACTTTAGCTGGACAACTTTATTGTAAATCTTTAGCTAACTTTATTGTAGATCTACTGTAAAGCCTAAACTATCTCTGTTACTGTAATCTCGTATTATCACTGTAAAGCTGCTTTGAAACAATCTATATTGTTAAAGCATTATATAAATGAAAGTGACTTGACATTGCATTCTCTGTGAGCGGTGAGGGCTTCACATGGGATACATGCAGGAGGATAGTTAGGCTGACAGAGAAGATCTCAGAACCAGAGACACGCATCCGCATTTAATCGAGGATAGTAAGAATGCATTGGGGTTATATATGGGGTAATGTACTCGGTAGAGCGGCTGTAGAGGCCGTGCGGCAGAGCAACTGGCTGACCGTGACACACCGCAGTCGCCATTGGCCAAAACACGATTACCATTATAGACAGATTCCCCCCGGAGCCAGAGTGCCTGATATCAAAGCAAATTGAAAAGCGCTGGCTAAAACAAATCCTAAACTCTAGAAGATTGTTATTCACATCGGCACTAATGATGTTCGACTCGATCGCTAAAATTAATGTTAAAGAGGTGTGTGAACTCGCTAATCCGATATCAGGCACTGTATGCTCTGGTCCCCTTCCTGTTCGCCGCACGGATGAGAGACTGAGTACACGGCCCGCACTCGACGGCTGGCAGAATAATACAGGGTTCACAGACTCAAGTCAAATATATTATATAGCGCTTTTCACAATACAGGTTGTATCAAAGCTGATTCACAATGTCAATCAAGACAACTTAACAGTCAATTAGACAGTTGAACAGGTTTTTGGGGCAGACCTGAGCTGTTGAAAAGAGCTGGTGATGATCCGTCCTGGGCTGGTGCTGCTCTTCTCTCCAGTAATACGGCTCATAGTCTAAGAGCTCAAACATGACAGTCTGGGGCTCAGGTCAAGAA